CAACCCATGAATCTTACTTTTTTTTTTCTGTTCAGATAGTTGAAAACAACTTAGAACTGAGCTTGAACTAACTCTTTCATTTCTGTGATTCAGAATGATTGTATGCCCCTGAGTCTTGAAGTTCTTTATAATCCTGGTTTTCAGTGGTGATTATTCTGTACTTTAAATCTTGTAGTCACAACCCACTTGATTGGTGGAAAGTGTCAGACCATGAGGAGGTTTGGAAAAGGCGCTGATGGATTATTATATGTTGTTGGGTTTCTTTAAGAAAAAGAAATGAGCTTTTGAGAACAACATTTAGAGGACAGATGGAGGGGAAATACAAAATACGAGTTCAACGTGCAGGAAGAAAGAGCAAAAAGAAGAGATGGAAAACAAGAGAGATGGATACAGGAGACAGCTCAGAAAAATGATACCTATTGCTGCTGAGTTTAAGGACTGGGGAGAAGAACCTGGTGTCTGAACACAGACTGGTGTTCCTGCCCATGACAGGGGTTTGGAACTAGATGATCCCTTCCAACCCAGATCATTCTATAATTCTAAGACAAGGAATGAAGGACAGAAAAACAGGAGGAGGAAGGTATCGTAACATCCCTGGGTAGCTTAAAACAGAAAGTGGATTATCCTCTGGAGTTCAGCACAGCCCACAAAGGAGCTTAGATAGCCCTTAAATCCTAATAACAAGGGATTTAATAGCAAGGGATGTAGCTGGCATGTTCAGACACAGTCACATTTCATCACTCTGATCCTCCCTTCTCCTTAAAACAAGACACCATGACTCGGAAACGTGGTCCCCCCTGGCCAGTCTTTACGGGCAGATGTGCTGCAGTAATATGCCAACACATGCCCTGTGCTTGCAGTGTTTCCATCCCACGTGGCCATAATGAGAGCTCTGCACAGAGGAGTTTCTAATTTACTCTTACCCTGAAGGATAACATAAGCAATCTGGGATGTTGTTAAACATGGCACACGTTGTTGCTGGGAGCTGCTTTCTCCTTACCAGTTCTGTGGGGGAAGAGTGACTTGTTTCTTCAGACTTCTTGTGCAGAGTATATGAGTTGGTCACGGAGAAAATCTTTAAGAGAGTTATGACAAGACATACTAATAAGAAAGCCCAAAACATAATTGCTGGCATCCAGCCTTTCAGTTCAGTGTGGTAACTTCTCCTTCCCATAGGATGGAGGGAGGGTAGTGTAAACTCATGCACAGCACCTCTTTACATACACAAACATAAGTATGTTCATGTCTTGTAGTATAGTTAGTATCAAGCCTTGGCTTTATTCCACTTTTGCTGTTTTCTTTATGAAAATATAAATGTGTGTGGCCCTAAGTTATAAATACGTGTGATTAAATTGACCCTATTTGCTCATGAGCCAAAATTGTCCCAGCAGGGGAATTTGGAGATCCCAAGTTTATTGCTGTGGCTCCTTGATTCTTCTGCTTCTCCAGCTCCAACTGTGGCTCTGGCCAAAACCAAACTGGAGCAGAGTATTTCTACTGTGGGATCAGGTACACGGTGCCCCGTGGGGACAACTGACTCACTGGTGTCGCTGGCTTTGTACCAGAGACAGATTCCTCTCTGATGGGAAAATGGAACCAGATTATGTGCCATTTAAATTGTTGTTCACTGGGCAAATAAACCATGCCACCCTCTTGCAGCTTGGGATCTGTTCCCTGGGATGTTCAGAGTGGTGGGCATGGTGGCAGGGGTGAGCTATGCTGAGCAGCTCTAATGGCATACAACTCACCCTTTATCTGAGAGCTTCTGGGTTAAATAATACCCTAAATAACCCTAAAAACAAGCTTATAATATAGTGTTGAGGTTTCTTCTGTCTCAGGGGTATCTGCAGCGCTGGACACATGTAATGCATTTTACTGTGCTCATTTGCAGCTTGAATAGCTCGCGGGGGTCAGCAGCAGAGTGCAGACTTTTTCACCCCTTGAGCAATGAAGCATTGAGTAAAAGTTATTATTACCAATTAGTGGTGGCATTATTATTACCAATTAGTGGCTGTATGAGGCAAATCATTAGTCTTAGTTCAGTTATTAGCAGCCAGGTGTTCATGAAACGTGCCATGTGCAGCTCACTTTGTGCCTCAGCGCTCACTGTTGGGGCCAGTCACTGAGTATGTGGCGTCTCCGTGCTGTCCCTGCGTGGGGTTCCATTGTGTCCCCCCAAAAAGGAGTGTGTTTGGAGTCAGTGTGGAGGGTTTTTTTGTTGCTGTCACTGTTGCGCACCCCCGAGGGAATAACTAAGGCAATTTCAATCTCTAGACAAGTATTTTGAAACCTTTAAATATACTGTATTGATGATATAAAGCCAAAAATTCAGTTCTAGTATTGTTCTTGATTTGCTGCTTCATTTGTAAGAATAAAACTGCCAAGTCAGAGAAAGGAAAGTTACAGTGCAAATTGCTCTTGATGTTGTTTCTCAAGGACTCCTATTTTTGAAACCCTTTAATATGCAATATTTCCACATACCCGTTAGTTTTGCATAATGGCTTTACCCAAGATGTTGTAGACAGCAAGCAGCATGAATTGAGTTCTATTTAAGAACTTAAATGGCACTTTCATACTGTGTTACAATTAAAAAAATTAGGAAGTTAATGGGAAAAAACAAAAATGGTGTATTTAGCTTTATTTGTATATTGAACTGTGTGTTTAACTTCAGTGCATTTTGCAGGAGATTCATGGCTGTAGCTCTATAACTATACAGAATGATTAATAAAATGAGTAAGAACGACTTACTTATAAAATTCCAAAACACTCAGTACTTACTGCATAGAATTGACTTTAATCATGTAATTGGAAGAGGCATTAGAAATCTTTTTCATGTTTCTGGGAGTAAAGAGCAGGGAGTTGGAGTGCTCTTTTCTCTTTAGGCCATGCAGATGTCTTCTGATTTTCAGTATTAGTGAAGAAAGGCTTTGAATGACAGTTTAAAGCAAATGAATTGTAGGAGAGCATGAGTCAGGTCAGGTCAATTCCAGCACTAGTTGGGTAGGGACATCTGGTGGTGCAATAGAGGAATAATTGAACGCTTACAACTAGAAGTGCAGATGCATTGGAATGATTAAGGCAAAACCATCATTAAGCTCATACTGTAATTACTTTTCTGTTTCAGTATTGTTCTAGAAATGCTCCTATGTGCGTTTACATTTCAGTTTGTGTATGGTTTTAATTTACTGGAAAGAAAAGGGCCTATTGAGCTGTCAGCTTGCAGACATAATGTGTTGAACTCCCTTAACTCAAAGGGCATTAACTTACAGTCAGTTGTAGGTTTAAAAATCAAACTCCTGATGCCAGACCGTGGTTCTGTGGATAGAGCTGGTGTATGTGTCAGTCATTCACTGTGATCTATGGGCAAAGCTGATTTCATTTGTTCCAGTCCATTGCTCACCAATTGTTTCAATCCATCTTTCAGTCCATCTTCCTGTAAAAATGTTATGATAATTTTCAGCT